GATAAACAAGTAAACCATATTTGTTGTAGAAAAACAATATGCAAAAGTTTTTCAAAAATAGACCTGTAGGCCAAGGGATGACCACTTAACAAATGACAGGTATTTTTATAGATTTTTTTCAAGCATGAATGATTTGAAGTTACGTGTTTTTTGACTGCATTTTAGGTTTGTATCCTCACTTTGACAGTTGTACATCACAAGTTATTTTTAGGTTTTTTTTTTCTTCAATATATATGACTTTTAAAGATCTAATTATTTGATTTGAACTCCTTTTTGCTTTGTACCTAGGTGTCAACACTTGTGTATGCATTTTTTTTATTTGAACCTCAGCATAAATCCACAATTAATTATAAGCTCAGTATTCTTGGTTACTTTCTGTTTTGGAAGACTTAAAGTTGTCCTGTCCCCTACCCATCCCAGTATCCTACCCTGGCCTGCAGTGGTGTCACATGTTCAATTCACAAGAGAAAGAAAGACCGATGCACCCATCTCTTGCTTTCTCTGTCTCTGACTCCACATCTATTTGTGTGGTCACCCCCGACCCACCACTGCTACATAGACATTGCAGCCTTACCCATCCATGTCTGTCTTTCTGTCTATGTTCTGTCTTTTCACTGTATCTGTGTCTGTCTGTCTGCCCATCTTTCCTGCTTGCTGGAGCCCTTCACAGGGCCCTCCTCATTTAGGGACAGAGTGTGCTTTTTCTGGGCCAGTGCTAGGCCCTGGAGAGAGGAGTGCTTTGAAAATTCAACTTGGACTTTTCACCAGACCACACTGCAGTTATGCTTAGCATCTGGCCACCAGTTTGTCCACTTAGTATAAGTTCCCTAACCCTACCCATAAGTTGCCCATTTCCCTTTTGATCTAGAAACAAAACACTTTTTAAAATCTTAAGAAAGTTAAGGGCCCAGCTTGAAAGGTTGGGGAGAGTCCAGCACAACTACAATTTAATTTGCTTTTTTCATCTTTATTTTCTCGTGGAGGGAAAGCCAGATGCCGCCCTTTCCAGTGAATAAGTTAGCAGACCATGATGTGAAGGAACAGCTTAATTCAGCAGCGTGACGAGGGTTTGAGCTGGCACTTTTCAGCCAGAATCACATTTACACACACACACACACACACACAGTCTGTTTCAAGTTTTAGTGAATGAAAGAAATTCACGTGATAGATTGCCATTCTAAGGTTTTAAACAGCTTTTATTGTTGCCGTAGAAAATATAACTTTTTGGATAAGTTATTGGTATATCAGCTGACTTCTACTGTTAGAAAGGTTTGAATCTTGATTTTTCTAATGCAAAATCCCATATCAAGAGTTAATAGACAGGAGGGAAAAAAAGCATTAACTGAAGAAAAAGGGAGAGTGGACTATAATGAGAATAGAAAACTGAAAGGGCAGGAACTTCCTTGGGGTCTAGTGGTTAGAGCTCTGGGCCCCTCTCCCAGGGGCATGGGTTCAGTCCTGGCTGGGGAACTAAGACCTCACATGCCATGCGGTGTGGCCAAAAAGGAAAAAATGAAAATTGAAAGAACAAACTGAAATTGCAGTCAGTCTGCTATAACAAAACACACATTCCTAAAAAATTACTGCACTATGCAGAGTTGTGCAATAAAACCCACAAGAGACTCATTAGAAAAATGGGATAATGGGCACAAACACTCAAAACTTAAGCAGCGACACTGAGAAAGATAGGAATCTAACAAGAAGGGTAGCACATGTGTATTAAATGCTTTGAAAAATACATAAATATTCTAATACGAGTTTTCCTTGAAGACAGCTTGGCATGTGCTTCTGAGGGTAGGGGTCAGCAGTGTTTCAGGTTGTGAGCTGCCGTGAAGTGGTGGAAGGAAGGGTATCCGAAATGGAGGGAAAGCTGTCACACCAGCTGTGGGTGACGTGGCTCCTCACGTCCATGGTGAACTGGGGTGGATGGTGGATGTTTGGTGGGGGTGAGCAGATAGAGGGTGTGTGCTTTTATTTTCACATGGCTTAGTTCAACCAAGGGTAGGTTTCTGTGTTCACCTAGTGCTTCTTACAGAGGGAATCTCACAAAAGCAAATGCAAAAATTCTTTATGCTGAAATTGTTCCCTGGTAGATCAGTGTCTTCAGAATTACTTTCTGTCTTCAAGATGATCATTATGGAAGATTAATTAGATTGATAATTTATTTGCATCATTTGATACAAGAGAAAATATATCACTTTCACTCAGAGACACTTGAGCATTCTGATACATGTCAAATTGTAAAAGGGATGTATTTCCTAGAAGTCAAAGTTCTGGTTGAAAGTTTTTCCCCCTCTTTGTATTACAGATATGGTGGTATTCCTTTAGTACTCTTCCACTGGGGGTACACAAGATAATTTTTGTGGCAGAATATGGATGAATATTTTACTATTTAATGTATATCAGAAGTATAAAGTATATTATAGACTTTTAAAACCTATTATTTTATACATGCTATTGTTTTGGGAAAATATCTCTCAACTGAGTGATACCCTGTTTCATGCTGGGCCATCTGAAAATAGATTGGGAGGGACAGTTTTGATTGGGGGGTTAGTTTCAGGCTGCCCTTGGTGGAGTGGTACCACTTACTGGTGATGAGGGGCTCGGGGAACAGGAGTTCTAACCACTCTGAGGTCCTGTACGAGAATTGTTCTGTCCAAAATACCAGTGATATCCCCACGAGAGACTGGTGAATATAGGGAGAAACAGTGGAGTTGATCATTTGAATAGAAATGTTGAGTGAAAAATAGTATTTTATGTGGCAGATGTGGACTTACTCAGTTGTGGTTAATGGTCCTCGAGACATTAGCCTGGTCTTAGGCTTCAATGTTAATTGAAGGCCTACTCTGTGCCAGCTTGTCATGGGCAGCTGACTGAGACAATAAGCTCCGTCATCCAAGGGAGTCAGGAAATGGAAACAGATTTTCACAGTCCTTGCTGACAAGTGCTGATGCTTGAAAGTATATTCAGAGTATTTGGGGATCACAGAAGAGAAGGAAAGTTAATTTTTTTTTTTTTTAAAGAAAGCCTCAGATGCCAACTTAGCTTATTTTGGCTTTCCCTTCCTTACACACAACTGTCATATCTGGGGAAGGAAGCAGCAGGCACTTATAAATGACTACCAGTTGGGCCTTCCTGACTTGGTTGTAGCCTCTATGTGTTCTAGTTGGAGAATTTTAATTCTGTTTATAGAGAACATAATAATTTTGTCTTGGTGTAGAGCAGGCTCTTAGGACCTCATAAAGCATCAGTGACCTGATGTCATCCTGGGAATAACCCAGCACAGCTTCACTGGTTAAAAAAGACATTTGGAAATGAACCATTTATGTGATGGGGAAACAATGGAAACAGTGACAGACTCTATTTTCTTGGGCTCCAGAATCACTGCAGATGGCGACTGCAGCCATGAAATTAAAAGATGCTAGTACCTTGGAAGAAAAGCTATGACTAACCTAGACAGCATATTAAAAAGCAGAGACATAACTTTGCCGATAAAGGTCCACTTAGTCAAAGCTGTGTTTTTTCCAGCAGTCATGAATGGATGTGAGAGTCGGACCATAAAGGAGGCTGAGCACCAAAGAATTGATGCTCTTGAACTGTGGTATTGGAGAAGACTCTTGAGAGTCTCTTGGACTGCAAGCAGATCAAACCAGTCAATCCTAAAGGAAATCAGTCCTGAATATTCATTAGAGGCACTGATGCTGAAGCTCCAATACTTGGGCCACCTGATGCAAAGAATGAACTCATTAGAAAAGAACCTGATGCTGGGAAATATTGTAGGCAGGAGGAGAAGGGGACCACAGAAGATGAGATGGTTGGTGGCATCACTGACTCAATGGACATAAGTTTGAGCTAGCTCTGGGAATTGGTGATGGACAGGGAAACCTGGTGTGCTGCAGTCCATGGGGTACAAAGAGTTGGAAACTACTGAGCGACTGAATCAGTCAAATTGATTCTAATATGCTGAATTTTTAAAATATTCATGTAACTTCCATGTTGTGATAAATAGATGTTGAGTCACGTACATTTTCAAACCTAAGAGTTAAGCAAACATGCCATTTTAAAGTACAAGTTTAACTGAAGGTAATTACTAAGCTACCAGCATAAGGTACTTAAGTAGATAAAGTTACTAAATAATTTACTTGTTTCTAATGGTAACATTCTTCAGCTCTCGATTTATTTAGTTTGCATTGCCTTACTCTGAGAAAACCTGATTCTCTAGCAGATAGACTTACTTTCCGTTAAACCTGTGTAGTTCTTGCTTAACTATGAATTACTTCCTGGTTTATAAAACAGGCGAAGCTATTTGTGGTATTTTTGTCTTGCGCCTTTGGCATCTTAGTGGTGTGAACCAGAGCCGCGCCATCTGTAGTCAAGTAAGATTATTTTAAAAGTGGGGGAGGGGTTGGGGGTGAGGAGTGAAGTGATTCACTGGAAAATTTCAGCACAGATTTGTAAGGAACGATAAGATAACCCTAGAAACATTCTTATTTGGTGTCATATGCTGGTGGGTAGTGACAAAAAAATAAAATTAAAGTACTTTTTTCTTCACACTTTGCTGTTTTGAAAATTGGAGATGTCCCTCACTAGAAAGGAAGAAATAATTTTGTGTGGTGTCAATAAACAGAGCTCTGGAGATGAATGAATAATTTTCCCCTCTCTGACTACAAATTGGAGTCAGTGAGGTTTATTTCTAAAATGCAAAACCCAGTAGTCTCAGGTTTAAAGTGGCTATTTAATTTCCTAGTGGTTATCTATATATGATAAACCTCTTTACGGTGAAATGTTTTCTTAAGCAGAAGGACCAGTTCCTAGAATCCAGAATAAGCCTGTAGGGCCTAGATAAGCCATTTCTGAAAGCTGGTGAGGTTAATATATTTTCACTTAGTGACACATTTTTTGAACCTAAATGTGTTGATTTCAGGGGACTCCTCCAGGGATCCACTGAAGACTTGCCTGAAACAGTGTCTCCCCCCGCCCCCCTTTGTTTTCTTTTTCAGAAAGAAGACATAGCTCATCCAGCAAGCCTTCTTTGGCCGTTCCTCCCACTTCAGTATTTTCCTTCTTCCCTTCTCTGTCCAAAAGCAGAGGAGGTGGTGGAAGTGGAAGCAGCCGTTCTTCCAGCGGAGGTGTTCTGAGCACGGCCTCGTTAAGTTCCAAGTTGTTGAAGTCGCCCAAAGAGAAACTGCAGCTCCGGGGGAGCAGGCCGATGCACCCCATCCAGCAAAACCGAGCCCCGCACGGCAGAATGTGAGTGTGGCTCAGAGGGCTCCTAAAGCCCATTGGCCAGAGGTGGGGCTGTGCAGACAAGTAGCTTGTGAGAGTGTCTGTGGGTAATGTCAGAGAAAGCCCACTTTGGGGGAAATCCAGATATATGGTGGTGTTTCTCTTTGTTTCCCTATTACAGGTTGGGAAACTTTGCAGAGTCATGATAGCAATAATAATCAGATTAATAATACTTATCACAACAATCCTATGAAATAGATACTGTGGTTATCTCCTTTACGTGCACAGTGAGAGGGGAGCATGAAAAGATTTAGCTGTGGGACTCTCAAGTCAAACAGGCCTGAGGTTCAAATCCCACCCCTATCACTTCCTAGCTGAGGGGCCTTAGCCAAGGCCCTGTTTTTCTCAGAGTTTAAAGACCATGTCCCCTGTGCAGGGTCTTTGGGATGGTAGGATTCATGTGTTAGAGTCAAGGATTCGTGTGTTAGAGTCAGTTAGCCAGTCACGGCTGGCTAGTGTCAGCCCCGCAGGAGACCGTGCAGAAAGGGCTACTGGTGCTGCTGCCACTGATGATAACAGTGAGAATAAAAAACCAGAGAGATCCCCAGAAGCTGTCCTAGGGTTTTCTGGGCTTGCAGAGCAAATAGGGAAGCACTGCTTCCTCCCACCCCCTGACTTGGGTTCACACCAGAACACTGATGAGGGAGGCTGAAAGAGGTTCCCACCACAAGGACAAGCCTTGACGAGTTTCCGCGGTGGATCCGTAGGCTGGCAGGCTCTGTGTGGTCACGTGAAGAGCAGCCGTGCCCTCTCATGGAAACACATCCTGCTGGCTCACGGCATCCCTCGGCCTTGGTGGCGGGTGGCTTTTCCCTGGCCCGCCTCCCTTGTGAGGGTATGCCATACGTCTCAGCCCCAAGGTCTGATAACCTGGTTAATCTTCGGGCAGCGGCCAGCACCTGCTCTTGTGCACAGACCTTGCCAGCTTGCAGAGGCCGTGGCATCTTGTGTCTCCGCTGCTGTCGGGCTGCTCCAGGTACAGCTGTTTGGTGCTGTTTGTCCCGGTTGCTAAGCCCCCGGCCTCCACTCATCTGTCAGAAGCGCAAGCACAGCGGGCTTGGCTTTCGTTCCTGGAGCTGTCAGCGCGCCAAAGAAAATGCCAGTGCAGCGTGTAAGTCACTCACCAGCCTAACAGCTGTGAGAGCACTGGCTGCGCTGGACAAAATGTACAGAACCTGCCCGGTCCAAGTTTTCTGTATCTGTAACTGGGCTTTAGATGGGGCCCAGGCCAGCTGTTAGCTTCGAAGCAGCGTTTGCCACCCAAGTGACGGTATTGGTAAGCCGCCGAGAAAAATCAGTTCTTGGTTAGCGATCCAGGTGTCCAGGGCTCACGAGCTGGGTGCCAGGCACTTAGAGGCCAGGATCCTGTCAGGAAAGCCTTCTTCAGGGTCTGGAGAATTAACGCTTCAGTGACACGTCATGTCCTAATTAAACCTGGGTCTTCCTCGTTGATAGGGGCAGAGAGGCTCTTCTTGGAGATCAACTGTTAGGCACTTTTCAGTTCTTCTAAGTCCATAGTGACCTTTCTTGGAAATGTTCTCTAATTTCAGTTGCTCTCTTCTCTACTCACTCATTTTACTTCATTTTGATGGATCAGTTCTTAAAAATGACAGTTCTCAAAAGATAATCCTCACGGGGTCCTGCAGTAGTCTCTGGTCCTTTGAGACCTTTTCATATTTTGCTGCTTGCTGGAGTTGCATTGGGTAACAGGCTCATGTGTAAGATTGTTCTGGACTGATGAAAGGCCAGGTAAATGTGATGGTTCCTCTGGAGCTCTCTGCCTCTCCAGAAAGGCTTATGGATAAAGGTTTGCTGAGTTTTCTGCATAGTCCTAACAGATTTCCCCAAGGAACCTTTGGGCACATGGGCAGACCCAGGTTCTGCCTCATCCCTCTAGCTCACCAGTCTCCTGGGGCTGCAAGGCACTCAGGCGCTGGTGTTCTCACTTCCCCCACGACAGCATGACGCCCTCTGTCAAAGTGGAAAAGATTCATCCGAAGATGGATGGCACACTACTGAAATCCGTGGCGGGGCCCCCCTGTCCTGCTCCTGTGAGCTCCTCAGTCAAGCCTGGCCTTAACTGCCCCTCAATACCAAAGCCAACCTTGCCTTCACCTGGACACATTCTGAATGGCAAAGGGCTTCCTGCACCGCCTGTTCTGGAAAAGAAGTCAGAAGATTGCTCCAATAACAGGAAGTTTTTAAATAAGAGATTATCAGGTAACTTCATATTTTTTCTCTCAGTATTTCTTTTTGTATTAACTGGGCACTCCTGGTGGAGCAAATCAACTATTATTAGAAGTCCTCCTTTTAAAACTAGCCAACTTCAGCTTTCAGATGAAGTTCCCTAAGTTGTGTCCTTGACCTCCTCCTCCTCGGTTTTAGAGTGCATGTGTGTGTAGGTGATGTAAAAGCAGCTTTCTAGTGGCGTGTTCCCCAATGGAGTAGTGAGGAGTGCTGGCTCACATGGCCCCGCTCCTTCATCTGCTGACGGGAGTGCCCACCCTCTCAGTGATGTCGCGACTTTCTTCTCAGTGCTCACACATTTTACTTCTTACATTCATTGATAATGTGGTAGATTTGCTTCAAGTTATAACTTGCCTGAAATAGGAGAATCTCTGATTTCTATTTTCAGAATAAGTGAAGGAGTGTTTGAACCCATTGTAATGTCTGTGTGCTTTTGACAGAAAGAGAATTTGATCCTGACATCCACTGTGGGGTCATCGATCTTGACACCAAGAAGCCCTGCACCCGGTCTTTGACGTGCAAGGTAGGGGGTGGGCCCCGGGGAGAGCCCAGTGGTCCAGGAAGCGGGGGGACCAGGGCTGCACAGTGCTGCTCCCCAGGTCTCCCTCGCTCACAGGGCCTCTGTTCTGATCATTTTCCTGGATTTTTAAGGGAGGTGTTGACTCTGTTTTGATGGAGAACACTTCAAATTCAGAAAACATGGGACCTGTTGTTATAAACAGCTGTTCTAAACTGCCCCTAGTGAGCACTGTTGTTTCCAGGAGGACAGTGTTTTTTCCTAATTAATCTGTTATCTTCAATGCCTTTAATTTGAGAGGCTTCCCTTTACTGTGTTTTGAAGTGTACTGACATAGGTTACATCCAGAAATTTCCTTTTCTTGTATGGATAGATCCTTAAAATGTTTGTGTGATTCTTAAAATGTTTGTGTAATATCTGGTTCTTAGTTTTACAGCTATTAAAAAATCTGTGACTTTGAGATAGTGTTATTTTTTTAGTTTTAAAAAACCTAGGTCACATGTAATCAGATATCTGTGTACACACACATACGTATGTATATCTGTGTGGATATACATATATATCAGTTTGTTCAGTTGCTCAGTCATATCCAACTCTTTGTGACCCCGTGGACTGCAGCTCACCAGGCTTCCCTGTCCATCACCACATCCCTCCTGGAGCTTGCTCAAACTCACGTCCATTGAGTCAGTGATGCCATCCAATCATCTCATCCTCTGTCGTCCCCTTCTCCTCCCACCTTCAGTCTTTCCCAGCATCAGGTTCTTTTCCAGTGGGTCAGTTCTTCGCATCAGGTGGCCAAAGTATTGGGCTTTCAGCTTCAACATCAGTCCTTCCAATGAATATTCAAGACTGATTTCCTTTATGATGGACTGGTTGGATCTCCTTGCAGTCCAAGGGACTCTTAAGAGTCTTCTTCAACACCACAGTTCAGAAGCATCAATCACACACACTAAAAAAATGTAAAGATTCCCCCTTTCTTCCCTGAGTTGTCCTTAGAAAACTTAGCCAGTGTGCTAATGAGAAGGTGGTGTATTTACTATAAAATTCGTATGGATGTGGGAGTGGCTTCAGTAGACCCTTTATGTGAATAAGCATATATGCTTATGTCCTCAGCTACCCTGAAGATGGGTTCAAAAAGTATTCAGAATCATTGCCTTGAAGTAATTTTAAAGCCATTGTTTGGAGAAGGTTAGAAATTATAAAAGTTAGTGGTGTTCACTACAAATTAACAAAGTTTTTGATGTATTATACATTATATTTTGATGTATTATACATTATATTTTGATGTATAAATTTTACAAACGATTATGTTTGAATAAAAACATTCAGGTTCCACTTCATCCACTAAACAGTGGAAGAATATTAAGATCTTCAAAAATGAGAAATGCTATTTCTAGATAGTTCTTATTAATATTTAATTTTAGTGTGTGGGTTTTATCTTGCAACAAGGTACTGAATATTTTGAAGAAATTGGTTGGTCAAGAGCACCTTTAAATATCTAATTTTTAAAGAATTATGGATCCTTTTCTCTGAGGAAAACGTACATACACATGCATGTTCTGAATTTTGCATTTTATTACAGAGGTCATTTCACTTCAAATTCACCTTAGAATCTCCCAGTTAAACATTCCTCGGGACAGGTTGCTTTGCTTTCTGTAATATCAATTGAACACTTCGAGTGGTGTGTTGTTGACGGTAGCCATTTGTGCTCTGTTACGCTCGTGTCCCATTCAGCGTGAGCTAGTGCCTCAGCCCTGCTCCACGCTGTGTCACACTTGCCAGCCTCTCTCTGCTCTCTCCCTGCCTACCTGACTGTCAGCCACATAGATTTCTCAGTGTTGTGGTAACTGTGATTAGTGAAGAAGGCTTACTTTACCCAGGATGCTCTTCTTTAATTATCTATGAGGCATGCTGATGAACCAAAAGCTTTATCAACTCCAGTTCTGCCAGGGGTTTGAGTCTTCTTCCTGAGCCTTCAGTGGCTTTATGTGGATCCTGCCTTTTTCTCCCATCTTTTTGAGTTGTGCATGCCCTTCATATGTACTGTTAAGGGGTCTTGACCATCTAGCAGGGTGCCAGGCCTGTCTTTCCATTAGCATATATCTTCACCCAGGCGGGGCATGAGCTCAGCGTAGAACTGTTTTTGATGTATTATACATTATATTTTGATGTATAAATTTTACAAACGATTATGTTTGAATAAAAACATTCAGGTTCCACTTCATCCACTAAACAGTGGAAGAATATTAAGATCTTCAGAAATGAGAAATGCTATTTCTAGATAGTTCTTATTAATATTTAATTTTAGTGTGTGGGTTTTATCTTGCAACAAGGTACTGAATATTTTGAAGAAATTGGTTGGTCAAGAGCACCTTTAAATATCTAATTTTTAAAGAATTATGGATCCTTTTCTCTGAGGAAAACGTACATACACATGCATGTTCTGAATTTTGCATTTTATTACAGAGGTCATTTCACTTCAAATTCACCTTAGAATCTCCCAGTTAAACATTCCTCGGGACAGGTTGCTTTGCTTTCTGTAATATCAGTTGAACACTTCGAGTGGTGTGTTGTTGACGGTAGCCATTTGTGCTCTGTTACGCTCGTGTCCCATTCAGCGTGAGCTAGTGCCTCAGCCCTGCTCCACGCTGTGTCACACTTGCCAGCCTCTCTCTGCTCTCTCCCTGCCTACCTGACTGTCAGCCACATAGATTTCTCAGTGTTGTGGTAACTGTGGTTAGTGAAGAAGGCTTACTTTACCCAGGATGCTCTTCTTTAATTATCTATGAGGCATGCTGATGAACCAAAAGCTTTATCAACTCCAGTTCTGCCAGGGGTTTGAGTCTTCTTCCTGAGCCTTCAGTGGCTTTATGTGGATCCTGCCTTTTTCTCCCATCTTTTTGAGTTGTGCATGCCCTTCATATGTACTGTTAAGGGGTCTTGACCATCTAGCAGGGTGCCAGGCCTGTCTTTCCATTAGCATATATCTTCACCCAGGCGGGGCATGAGCTCAGCGTAGAACTGGCAGAAGATGCAGCATGGCAACTGGCCTGTCCTTGCACAGATGCCCGTACTTTGCTCTCGCAGCCTGTTTGCCAGTGCTCCTCCCTTTCCCTTCCTCTCGAGCTGTGGGGCTAAACACACTTGACCGCCCCAGCTCAGTGTCCCCCGTGCTGCTGGCCAGGTCTCTGTTAGGCTGAGGTCACCTGATGGCCATCTGCCACTGTCCACTCCTGTCATTCTGGGGTCTGCCTGCCACCCTCACTATCCCCTCCTCACTTCCTCATCTGTCTAGTGTTCTGTTCTGTGTCCTTGCACTTCCATTCAGGTAGACTTGGGCTCCTTTCCGTGTAGAAACATATACTGCACACACGTGTGGGCCCAGACCTCCCTCTGGGCCTCAGAGGATACAGGCTTGAACAAAATCAAGGCCTGGCTCCTACCCTTAGTGGTAAAATTTACCTCTGATGGGTAATAAAAAAGAGGCCAGGCTAGTCACAGTCTTCACTAGGGGAACTGACTCGGGGAGGCTCCTTCACCTTAGGACTACTAGGCTGAACTTCTTGGGGTTTGTCTGGGCAGAAAGGGGTGGAAGAGACAGCAGAGACAGTTGGTGTGAAGGCTGTGGGAGGAGGGCAGAGCAAACAGCTTAGGGCCCACAGGACAGCTTGGAGGTGGGCAGGAGACGGAGGCGTGGGGAGCAGGGAGCACAGTACTTAGGGCAAGCCCGGCCCCGGGCCGCCTTACAGTGGGTCCTTATCTGTGGGCTTCACACAGTTCCCACAGAGTTCTGATGGGCAGCATCAGAACTGTTGTAATCAGATGGTTCTTCAGAGCCCAGTGGAAATGCTATTTACTCTTCAAACCAAGCTTGGGAAATATCCATCATCTCTGCCTACTTTCTTCACTCAGTCTTGCCATGCTGGGCACCAGGGGATACTTAGAGATGAGGAGTGGCTTCTCCATCATCTGTCTGGAGACACGAGCAGGTGACCAGTGATATCGTACATTCGTTTGCTCATTCAGCGTGTTTTGGAGGACCATCATTTGTATCTGCGTTTCGTTTGAGGCATTGATGGTGTGCGAGGTGCTGTCTTAGGTGTTTGTACAGCACTGAGCAAGACAGAGGTTCTTGGCTTCATTTGGGTGACTTACAGATATATTACATATTAAAGAAAAACAAGAAAAAAAATTTTTTAAACCCTACTCATGTTTCTAACTATCTGTGCCAGGTTACATTTGAGCAGACATAGTTGCAGTGTGACTGATAAGGACTAGGTTATGTTACTGACTTGCAAAAGGGAATAAGAAGTCTAACTCTCCTAAAATCCTTTACACCGTAGCAGACGTGTGGGCCTGCAGAACAGTGCATTTGTGTGACGTGTGGGTAATGAGCACACGGGAATGATCCTTTGTGGTACTGCTGTGACATGCATGAGGGAAGGACTTGAAGTCACTCATACATGGGAGGCGTTATTTGGGCTGCTGTGGTTAGTGGCGCCTTGCTTTTTCTTTTTTAAATACCAACAGGGGTCCTGACAGTAAGGAGTGGTCAGGTTTACTTGACCTTTCTTCTTCTCAAGAGTAATTCCAAATTTCTAAAGATGTGACCATTTTTGATTCTGAGATTACACCTTGTCTCCAATTCCAAAAATGCTGTCTGTCCCATTTTCTTGATTTCCGTAGAGAGTGCCTGTTCGTGGGGTTTCACGCTGCTGTGCATCTTTTCCTATTCTTAGTCTGTCTTCTCTTGGCTTCACACTCTTTAATTCCCAGATCTCCCTCTGCCGCGTTGGTCCCTGTTTCTAGGGTGTCTTGAGCCGCTTCCTCTCTTCTTATGGTGTTGTCACTGGAATAAAGAAGCAATTGTATTTAATTTTTACTTTTTGGCAGTTACTGAAAGACTTTCTGATACATGTTTTGTGGGATGTATCATCCCATAAAAGGGAAGTATTTCTTCCCTTTTAATACTGAAAACTCTTAAGTGGCCCAAAGAGAGACTTTCTAGTGGAGTTGGTGACAGTCCTGACCAATGAATTGCTCCAATGACACAGAACTTAAGGACCTGTCACCTGTTTGTATCAGGTTTGACAGTCTCACTGTTTGCCCCTTGGTTACATACCAGGCAGCATGGTTGACGTTTTTTCCTTTCTTCTGGTGGAAGTGACATCACCAAATTCTTACACATTTGGAGCCTGGAATATCTGCTTTTAGATTTAAAAAAAAAATAAAATTCATACTCTTAAGGTTTTTCCCTTATCAAATGCTAAGCAGCCTTTGATTATGCTAACGGTCTAGATTGCTTTTTTATTGGCATTGGTGTTCTTTGATATATGACATAAAAAATTATTACTGACAGTCCTCCATTTCTGTTTGTTTTGTTGTTGTTTCTGGTGTGTAGACACATTCCTTAACCCAGCGGAGGGCTGTCCAGGGTAGAAGAAAACGATTCGACGTGTTGTTAGCCGAGCACAAAAACAAAACCAGGGAAAAGGAATCGATTCGCCATCCGGACTCTCAGCAACCAGCGCAGCCTCTCAGGGACCCACATCCCACCCTTCCTAGAACGTCACAGGAGCCACACCAAAACTCTCACGGAGTGATTCCCTCCGAATCAAAGCCTTTCATAGCTAGTAAACCTAAACCTCACACCCCCAGTCTTCCAAGGTAAGCCACGTCCTGCAGCTCTCTCCCTCCTCAGAGAACAGATATGCAGCCTGTAGAGTCCTGGCGTGTCGTGCTGTCGAGGACAGGCATCAGGCTCGTTGCGAGAAGAGGGCGTGTTTTCTAATTGGGTTTTATTTTTTAGAGGAAAAAAAAATTGTTCATCAGTGAGTTTCAACCAGGGCTCTTCATAGCCAAACACAAGCATCAGAGTAAAGCTAGAGCTGCCTGCTCCACATGCCTGTCTCCTGACCCCGCAGAGCAGGGCTGAAGCCCGGGTCCTGCCTGCAATAGCGAGGGGGACATCTCACATGGCTTTGGCACCAATTTCCCATTCATTTGTCTTGCTTCTTGCAAAATACAGCATAAAAAAAAAATAAAATTCATACTCTTAAGGTTTTTCCCTTATCAAATGCTAAGCAGCCTTTGATTATGCTAACGGTCTAGATTGCTTTTTTATTGGCATTGGTGTTCTTTGATATATGACATAAAAAATTATTACTGACAGTCCTCCATTTCTGTTTGTTTTGTTGTTGCTTCTGGTGTGTAGACACATTCCTTAACCCAGCGGAGGGCTGTCCAGGGTAGAAGAAAACGATTCGACGTGTTGTTAGCCGAGCACAAAAACAAAACCAGGGAAAAGGAATCGATTCGCCATCCGGACTCTCAGCAACCAGCGCAGCCTCTCAGGGACCCACATCCCACCCTTCCTAGAACGTCACAGGAGCCACACCAAAACTCTCACGGAGTGATTCCCTCCGAATCAAAGCCTTTCATAGCTAGTAAACCTAAACCTCACACCCCCAGTCTTCCAAGGTAAGCCACGTCCTGCAGCTCTCTCCCTCCTCAGAGAACAGATATGCAGCCTGTAGAGTCCTGGCGTGTCGTGCTGTCGAGGACAGGCATCAGGCTCGTTGCGAGAAGAGGGCGTGTTTTCTAATTGGGTTTTATTTTTAGAGGAAAAAAAAATTGTTCATCAGTGAGTTTCAACCAGGGCTCTTCATAGCCAAACACAAGCATCAGAGTAAAGCTAGAGCTGCCTGCTCCACATGCCTGTCTCCTGACCCCGCAGAGCAGGGCTGAAGCCCGGGTCCTGCCTGCAATAGCGAGGGGGACATCTCACATGGCTTTGGCACCAATTTCCCATTCATTTGTCTTGCTTCTTGCAAAATACAGCAGAAGGGATTCTCGCTAGGGATAGGCATTCAGCCTGAATTTTTATAGCATCCGTTTACATGTATCTTCATTCATTCATATGGGACTCTGGCCAGAGTGCACATTAGGCTTTGGAGCTTTGCACTGAGCAGCACGTCAGAACTTAGCCACATCCCTCAGACATGGTGATGGTGGGCTGCGTATATGCATGTGTGTGCTTGTGTATTTAACCAAGTTCAAGTAAAGGACTTTGTATCCAGAGAGAAGGGAGAAAGGCACAGATAAGGAGGGTCTTGTGTCTTGACCATCAGTAGTGAGGCCTTCTGCTTAGGAATGTGCAGACCCTTGGCTGCTGTTGCTTAATTAACCTTTTCCCCTCACATGTCCGATCCTTGAAATGGTCGCGTGAGGGGTGGAAGTGCCTCCCTGTGGAAACGTGAGTGTGTGCCCGAGCCTGTCCCCACGTTAGCCCCTTGGTTCTGAACGGCGCAGTGGAGGAGTGTTCCGAGCAGATGCCCCAGAAGGTGCCCAGGGCCAGGCCGCTGATCCTTAGCAAGTCCTTTCTTTGGCCGCCTTTTCATTAAAGTGTTAGCATCTGAAACAAAGTGGGCTTAACTCTAGAAACACCAGGCCTTTCTGTTGGAAAAGCACACTACTGTCCATGAGTCACACATTCCATATTACCCACATCAACCCACCTTCTTTTATCACCTCCTGTCCCTGTTAAGTTATTTTAGAGCACGTTACCTGTAATTTCATTGATCGCCTTAGTAACCCAATTCCAAGTAGAATTTGAAGGGGAATCAAAGAAAGAATTCTCTTAAGTTCCACATACATCTCGTATTTTTGGGGGAGAATAGGACCAGGTGGGAAGGAGAATGATTGTAAGTGACTTTGATTAGACCTGGCAGAAAGCTCCATTTGACATCGTGCAGTGCAGGAGAGAGACCCCTTCGCTCCAGGCACCTCGGATCTGCGTCTGTGTCCCCAAGGGCTAGTGGTGGCGCCCAGAGCTCCCCTGGTGGTTTTGGATACATGGTTGTATCTGAGTCGAGGCGGCTGATTCCCAGACATGTGGTGTGATCTGATCAGTGCTGCACTTTCTGCTCACCAAGGCCTCCAGGCTGCCCTGCTCAGCAAGGTGGGAGTGCCCCCATTGACCCTCCTCCAGTCCATGAGTCTCCACACCCTCCCCTGCCTGCCACTGAGCCAGCTTCTCGGTTATCCAGTGAGGAGGGAGAAGGCGATGACAAAGAAGAGTCTGTTGAAAAACTGGACTGTCATTATTCAGGTCATCATCCTCAGCCAGCATCTGTAAGTTCCACACCCGCCCCGGTGCCGACCCTCCCCACGCAGCAGGGACAGGGCAGTGCAGGGGGGCATGCCGGGGACCGCAGCATGCCCTCGTCCATGCGGGTCGCCCCGAGGCGGCGTGCTCTCTGGCGGGCGCATCTGCTGCTGCTCCCAGTCTCTCATGACGCGCAGGGCTAGGCATTGTCACGTTCATGCTTCACAGCCCGCGGTCCTCAGTCAGCGCTGTCTGTCCCGGGCCGTGCGCCCTCAGAGTCTGCGAGCCCAAGCGTGTGCTTTCTCTCTTTACAGTTTTGCACATTCGGGAGCCGGCAGATTGGAAGAGGCTATTACGTGTTTGACTCCAGGTGGAACCGGCTTCGCTGCGCCCTCAACCTCATGGTGGAGAAGCATCTGAACGCGCAGCTCTGGAAGTGAGTGCCCGTCCACCACCTCTGGGGCAGGTGGGGCCTTGGGGCTGCATCCTCTTCATTTCTTACGAGGCTGATTTAAGGAAGGTCATCATCTCTGATGAACACAAGGCTTGACCAGCCCTGGAAGAAGGACCTTCATCATTCATCCATTCACTCCTGCAGCAGATGTGTCTCGTTCTCGGTGCTGGGGTTTTAGGCCGAGGGGCTCCCAGATGGACGGAGCTCAGGTTCTAGGTCGGGGAGAAACGTGAAAGCCAGTCATCAGAAAACAGACATCATAGCTTGTCATAAGGGAGAATAACAGAAATGCTCATAAATCTGTATCTCTTATTGAGATTACTAAGGCCAGACACTGTAGCAAATACAGTTTTCACAGCTCCAGGCCAGAGGGCTTCATGGAGAACCTGTGTGAAGGGGCCCTTGAGCTGAGACGAGTGGTTGAGAAAGAGTAGTCGTGGGACGGGCGAGGAGGAGTGGGTTCCATGCAAGGAGAATAGTGCATATGAAGGTCTTTAAGTCAGAAAAGAACATGGCTTCTTTGAGAACGAGCAAGGAATCTCTTAGAACAAGAGGAGACCCGAGGGTAGGATGACGCTGACTGAGAGCCCTGGGGAGAAGGGTCTCAGGTGATGGAGCTGTGCGCTCTGGCTTTCAGCTGAAAGTGAGGTGATCGTGTTGTGTGGCCTTACCCATGCTCCTGTTTCCCCAATGTGATTTTAAGTTGAAGAGGAGTTCTGTGGCCCAAAAAGTTTATTAACCCAGTCTTTCTGAAAGGAAAGTTTGTGTTATTGCAGAACTTCTCAGAGCCTTTAGTGAGTGCTGTCCATGTAACTCTGAAAACATAGGATGATAGCATGTATAATGTGGATTGCCTCTCAGTCTCTTGTGACCTGGGAACCTCTTTTAGGGGAGCATCTGGGAGACTAGTGTTGGGCAGAACCTACTTTGGGAAGCATTGAGCTTTGTTAAAGGGGGCTATCCAGTAGTACATAGTCATACCAAATTCTCCCTTTGGGCATCATTTACCCCTAGTGCCTCCCTGAGTAGACTCTGCAAGTACATTTATTTGCCTCTCTGCTTGTGTTTCCTGTTACAGTCAGAGGAAGTTATCAGACCTAGGATAGTCCACGATCCAGAGGACTGTCTCTATAGTCATTAGTAGGGCTTGCATTTGTCCATAGTGAAGACCAGCCCCATGGCAGTGTTACTTTGCTTTATTTCATGTTTGTTCCTAGTTCTTACTAGATAAGAGCTCTAATGAAGTAACAGTGTTCTGACCCAGAGGCAGACTTGGGCAGTGGTTTGTTGGGATTTTTTTTTTGGTGTGGGGGTGGATGGTAGCCTCAGATCAGACAACTTTAAGATATGTGAAATCTCAGTTGCTTACCTGGTGGGACCTGAAGAGCTCACTGAAATTATGATCTGTGGGTTTAACATACTCGTCAGGGTTTGGAAAGGTCCTGGGGATTTCTATCCCCATCACACTGATGCGTGGTTTATGGCCAGGGTTTGGGTGAGAGACTTTCAGCTGGTTCTTGGAGGCTCCTGTGGAGAGACATCTTTGCACTGTGATGTCTGAAGTAGCAGGGTCCTCCGGCTGACCGCTGTTTCGCCTCTGCTGTGTCGCAGTCTGCCTGCCTTATCAGTCACTTGCTCCCAGTGAGGAGGAAACTTTCTTTCCATTACCATGACCTTTGAGGTTTTAAAAAATCAGTTCAGCAGAGACAGACGGGCTGCTGTGATGAGCTGGCATACAGGCCTGGAGTGGATAGGAGCTTGGAGAGAGTTGCCAGGCCAGATGCTTGAGGAAATAAGTGCTCTCGGCATGGGAGTGAGGGGGGTTGGCGCAGGCAGCCCCTGGGATTTGCCAGGAGCGGCTCAGCACTTCTCTGCAGAGGAGAACTCCTCTTGAGGTGGCATCTTTGAGGCACTCAAGGAACCTCTTGATGCGGTCCGGGTCCCACCCCCTGGCACAGTTGAACATCCTCCCTCCTGCGAGGAGCCCTGCCAGCCCTGACCTGAGCCCCTCTTGCTTCGGTTACTGCGGTTAACCTGGGGGTTTTTGGAGCGGGTGTGAGCCTGGCGTTAACTCAGTCATCCGCAGTGTGGAGTCTCTGGACAGCAGGTGAGGGTAGACTCACTCTTGCTCTAGCTCCTGCTCCGACTCATACCTGTGTGTTCTGTCTGCTGTCTGCATGCTGTTATTAGGGACCACTATGGCACTGAGGACAGGCTGGGATGGTTATCAGGTTTTGATGTGAGTTTTCCTTTTTTTTTAATTTTTAAGATTGGCTAAAAAAAGAAAAATGGATACAAAGAGGCACATAGTAAAAAAGTTTTACTTGCCCTGATTCCCATGCTTCTGTTTTCCACCCATTCCTCACAGACAGTTTTATTAGTTGCTTGTATGTCTTTGGGTTTGTTCATGCAACATAGGTCAATATGACTGCCTATTCTTTTTTTTTTTTTTTTGTCTCTTCTTTATGCAAAAGGTAGGAAATGACTTGAAAGAGCTTTTTAATGAGAAACTAGTAATGTCATCCAGAGAGTCCACATCCCTGCCCCTATGGAAGCCTTTCCTTTTCCCCAGGTTTGGTTCCAGCAGCTGGCCTTGAGGCTCCGTCCTCCTAAGCCACCTGGTGGCCATGAGACGCCACTGCACCCAGGGAGCAGGGACCCCCTGCACTGAGTTTCAGTCAGGGCTTCTCACAGGTGCCAGTGCCCTGGGGGTCTTGCTGAGATACACAGTCTGATGAAGGAGGTCTGGGGTGGGGCCCAGGGACTCAGCATTTGCAGTAAGCCTCTCCTGTAATGTCAGTGCTTATCCTTCATGAGTAATATAGGGATAGAAGCCCAGCTTCTCAATCAACATCAGCATCTGGAGAGATCTAGAAGTTACTAGTGCCTGGACCCCACCCCTGTGATCCTGGTGTGGCCTGAACGCCACGGGTGATTGTGACATGCAGCCACATTGGGAAGCACAGACTTAGAGTAGGAGCCACACTCTTGCTAGGGGAGGGCTTTAAAGGCTGGTATGAACACTTGCAGTTGTTTAATTCCTTTCATGGATAGCTATAGTTCTTCTCAAAAAGCATCAAGAGAGATTTGGCAGCTATCTAAGCCAAGGCTCTCACTTGAAGGTTGAGGAGCACTGCTGGTAGTTGGATCAGAGCTGCCTGGTGAAGCTTGGGTCAGGGCAGTCTTGGCAGTTGACTTCCAGTCGGGCCATTTGCTGTTTTGCTACCTGAGTGTTAATTATGCTATAGGGTTTTTTTATATTTTGGTTCTGTCAGATTTTAAAAGTCATAGCTAAAATAAAAGTGGGAAGGGTCCCTCGTTTGACTGTTTGAATAGATACCCAGATAGTATTATCAGAATCCATTGTCGGAACACTGACCAGAAATCCCCTGAGATTTGGGGGCTTCCCAGCTATTCAGGCAGTATCTGGGACCTGTCAGTTGTTACTAACTAACTGTGTCCTTCCTTTTTCCCTGATTGTTCATGAGTTCTCTTAATGGTTTGAGTGTCTTTGTGTTCTAGGCCCTGTGCTAGATGGACAGTAGTAAATCAGCTGTGAATTGCTCCATCTACAGAGACACTGGACAGTGCTTCTCAGTCACACCTTTTAAAACTACTAGAGCCTTCCCAAGTCTAGGAATGGGGCAGAGTGGGAACTAAGCAAGTTAGGAAGGCCTGATTCCCTAAGAAGGTGATGATGGGCCAAAACAGAAGGATGAGCAGAAGCTGGGGTGACTGTGTCTTAGGCAGAAGATACATGAGGTCTGGTGTCATGACCTGGTTTAGGAACTGAAGGAAGATCAGTAGCCAGAATTGGGGCACTCGGGGTGCTGAATGGAAGGGTGTGGTGTGAACCTGTAGCCCCAGCAACATGGCCTTATAGGCCAGTGTTCTCAGAGCGCAGGAAAGCATGAAGAATTTGAAGGGGGGAAGTGACACTCCTTGTGGCTTGGCATCTTGGCGCAATCCCTCTGACCAAGGGGTCTGTTCGGTGCCAGAGGTGAAGGAGGTCTCCTTCTGAAAGTTGCACGGAGGGCCGTGGTAGACGCTGCTCACGCCCTCTTCTGTTTTGCAGGAAGATCCCACCCGTTCCCAGTACCACATCGCCTGTGTCCACACGTGTTCCTCACCGGACAAACTCTGTGCCGACGTCACACTGCGGGGTTAGCTACCTGGCAGCAGCCACCGTGTCACCTGCCCCCGCCCCGCTCTCGTCCAGCTGCATCTCCCCCGGCAGTAAGTCGGTCCCAGCTCACGGAACCACGCTGAACGCCCAGCCTGCCGCCTCGGGGGCCGTGGACCCTGTGAGCAGCATGCAGTCCAGACAAGTGTCTTCCTCCTCCTCCTCGCCCTCCACGCCCTCCGGCCTGTCCTCCGTCCCGTCCTCCCCCATGGCCCGGAAACCTCAGAAGCTGAAATCCAGCAAGTCTTTGCGGCCCAAGGAGTCTTCTGGTAACAGCACGAACTGTCACAACGCCAGTAGCAGTGCCGGCGGCGGCTCAGGAAAGAAACGCAAAAACAGCTCCCCACTCTTGGTTCCCTCCTCCGCCTCCTCGTCGTCCTCGTCCTCTTCTTCTCATTCCATGGAGTCTTTTAGGAAAAACTGTGTGGCTCACTCTGGACCGCCCCACCCCGCAGCAGTAGCCTCTGCCCCGGGCATCAGCCTCAACTGCGTGGCCAGCCGAGCGAACTCGGTGGGCGGCCGGCACGAGCAGCCAGGGTGCCGGGGCACCCCCATTGGGAGCCCCTGCGAGTCCATCAAGAGGATGAGCGTGATGGTCAACAGCGGCGATTCCACACTCTCCCTCGGCCCCTTCGTGCACCAGGCCGGCAGCGAGCTTCCTGTCAACTCCCACGGCGCCTACCCGCACTCGCACACTCCTTTGGACAAGCTCCTAGGAAAGAAGAGAAAGTGCTCACCCGTCTCAAGCGGTGTCAGCAGCAGCGGCGGCAGCGGCAAGCCCACCAAGGTGGCCAAGCTGCCGGCCGTGAACAACGTCCACGCGAAACACACGGGCCCCAGCCCGGGGGCACCGGGGCTGACGAACAGTTCCCTCCTCCATCAGGTAGGACAGGGCCTGGGGGCCCCGTGGGGAGGCTCGTGGCCTCTCCCTTGAGATGGTTGATCAACTCAGAGATCTGTGCGGTCGGTTTGGTGGGTTTGCCTAAAAGCAAGTGTCCGGCTTCACGGTGTCTTTTAAGAAAAGGCCAAGTTGAAGGCCAGATGAAGGTCACACGGGCGCCTCTCTGCCAGACTCTCTGATGACTCGGAAGATGCTCTTGGCTGAGGAGGCCACACCAAGTGCATTTCCGCAGCTGGGGCGGTGGACCCCGTCCTGCGTGACGGTGGGGCCCTCCCTGTCCTGGAGCGTGGTCCTCTCGTACGTTTTTCTGAAGAAAGCTGGGCGAAAATCAAGCTGATGTGGAAAGGGATGATTTAAATTTGAAAAAGGCTGTTCATATTTTTCCCTTCAAAGAATTTCAGGTTTTCTTGTTAATTCCCTCCCTCTGTGTTCTCCCTGTTTTCCGAGGAGGCAGGGAAACAGAATTTAACTATGGCAGAGCAGAAGATTAACATCTCGTTGAAGGTAACAGATTGAAAAGAAACCTGCATGTGACCCGTTTCTAGAAAAGGGCTTGTCGGGCATCGGATTCATTACTGACCGTGGTTTCTCTGGCTGAGTCTTGTCTTCCCCACTCTTCCTCCGGCTGCTGTTTGCTCCTGTGGCCAGTTCCTCCACCTTCCTCTTTCTCCTGTCCAGCTCCTGTCATCTTGTCGTTTCATTCAGCAGGGTACTTTCTGTCTTTGCTTACAAGCGGGAATTTCAGCAGTATCAGCCTCAGAGCTCTGCTTTAAAATGTGAGGCTCTTTTTGTTTTGCTTTGTTTTCCCTTCCTCATCTTCAAAACTGAACATAAATGTCAGACTAGAACTTGTCCAGAAAATACCAAGAAGTTTCTTCATGAGACAGAAGTTTCCCTCCAGTATATGTGTGAATGAAAACTCAGCACCAAAGGTGTGGGAAAAATAATGACGCATGAATTTCAGTAGCAGCCGCTTCAGTTCTTCTCTTTGAGCCACAAATACATATGGGCTATTTGTGTGTCATTTGGGCCTTTGAACAGGATTCCTGGACAAGTGAAAACTTCTTGATTTGTAGTTTAACGATAAGCATAAAAATACACTGCAAACACTGTAAGAATCCATCCCTTAGTAACACCCTTCTGAGCGTAGTTTCCCAATTCATGTGAACCCCAGGAGGGAAGCCCCACTGCGCGCACCCCTGTCACGGCGCAGGCTGTCTTCACACGGAGGCTGCTGCAGACCTGACCGCCCTGGTGTCGGGGCAAGGCGGAGACTGGGCGGGTGCAGCCGAGGGTGACGATCTGTGGAGAAGTGGGGAGTGGGCGCCTCATCTGCACAGAGCAGCGACTCCCAGAAACTTGCTTTAATTTCAGAGAGAAACTACGCATCTGAACCTTCATGAGAAATTTCACCATTTTCCAAAGCTCTAGTTTTTTTGTATCATTTTGTCTTGATCTGGGGAAGCCCACACATTTGTCAGCTAGGTTTGGCTCAGGAGCTACCAGTTTACCACCTCTCATGTCCACCATCTGAGGAGGACTACATCCCCCTTGGACAAACAGCCTATGTTTGGGTTCTTTTCCTTAAAGGCAGTTTCACGTCATGTTTGTATTTGAGAAAGGTTTTTTTCTGTGCCGTGGAATACATTCTGTTACGCTACACAAATTCGGGGGATGTGGGGTGTGGTTCATGGCTATAGATCACAGGATGGATCAACTGCCCAAAAAAGTATTGCATTCTTTTTACATCCCTGATCATTTAGCTGCAAGAGGGAACCAGTAGCTTTTTTCAGACTATCAAAGGGACCCATGCCTCCAAAATGCTGTACAGAAGTCTGCTCTTAGACCAGTAGGGGCCTGAGCTCGCTCTTCTCCATGGAGCAGATTTTAGAGCCGAGATAACTGGACTGGTTTGAGTCCCTTCAACCACAGAATCGGGGACCTGCTGGGGAGCCTGGGAGATATCGCTGAGTGCCCACCCAGCCCCTGCGTCAACTTGCGGGCTCTGCCACCAAGGACTTGCGGGCTCTGCCACCACGGACCTAAAAATAGCTCAGTGCAGGCCAGCGAAGGCCAGAGTTCCCTCTGCTTGCCTCCCCTCTGCCTTGGGTGTGAGCTTTCACACCTGTGTGCTGGCCCATTTGACCTTGTTCACGTCTCAGTTGACAACCTGGAAAAGCCTCAAGGAAGCAGCATCCGTAAATAGAACCAAAAGGCAAACATGTGAGCCTTTTCTCTAAGCTAGAAACCCCAGGCTGCATCTCTTCTGGACTGTTTTCTGAGAGCCAGTCTCTTAGAAGGATTGTGCCCAAGGTCGTTGGAGACTGTTGAAAGCTAAAACCAAGTTCTCTAGCTGCCTGCTCCTGGCACGGCCTGGGCAGAGGAGACATGAGTGGCGCGTGGCCTTGGGAGTACCTTGTTTAGAGTCAAGGCAGGGCTGGGACAGCCGCTTTCTTACCTTTCGATGTCTCCCCACCCCCCTCTTTTTTGAAAGCCAAAGGCCCGTCCCTGACAGCTGGAAATAGCACGGGGAGGAATAATGTGGACACTTTTGACGACAAGTTACACCTCCACTCAGCACTCTGGATTCCACGACACCTTTGAGTCTGTTCTCCCAGCCTCCTGTAGGCCTCGAGGGTAGAAATCTGCCGGGCTGTTGTTTTAACGAGGATGCCCCTGAAGCTTAACTCACTGCCCCTGTAGCAGTGAGTACTTGTTAAAGGACACTGGATCAAGTCCAGCCATCAAGTTGCTTTTATCAGTGTTAGAGTGGTCTGGACAGCTTGCTGCCATCTGTGAGAAGTTCCTGTCTTGTTGAACCTGCAATATATCACCAAGCCGCTCTTAGAGGAGGTTGGCTGGTGCAAGTGTCTTGGCAAGACTGTGACTGTAGTCTTTTCTCCCTCCCTCCTTCTCCCTGCCTAGGTCTTCCCTCACCCTGGCATCTGTAGGTCCCAGGTCCCTCTCCAGCAGTCACATACCATAACTGGAGAGACCTCTGGGGGCAAGCAGAGCTGCACTCCCGAGCAGCCCCCTAGAGAAGGGGGTCTGTGGCTAGGAGTTTACATCAGGGGTCCGGAACGGAGTGTGGATGTTAGTGTAAGGCGCCGTGATAAAAGAGTCTCTGTTTTCACCCAGCCTTTTGCAAGTAATTTGGGATCAGAGGCTGTCAGAAGTTTTTCATGTATGAACTGGTTTAAAAGCCATTGATGGCCAGAGAGCAAGGATACACCAGTTTAGAGGCTTACTTTTCATGGTACAAAAGCAATTCTGTGTGAATTTGAAAAAAAAAAAAGAAAATGCAGACAATTTTGATCATGGAAAGTCAAATTTTGGTGGGAGGGGGCAGATAAAAATCACTGTGGGGGGAAGTTTTCCATGATTTCCAAAGAGATTGATTTTTTTTTTTTTTTAACCTTTGTTTTCATGTTAAACAATATGATTGGGCCAGTTGTCCTGCTTAGGCTCCTGTTTTTAAAAATTGCCTTTGTAACGTGAAGTAACTGGGATGCAGCAGAATCTGTCATTCACCAAGTCACTGGAATACTTAAATGTTTCCAAAGCACTCTGCATTACCCCCAACCTCTGTGGATACTGTCCTGGGACTAAGTGTAAATTTCTGCTTGGAGCACTCCCAATGTGTGTATCTGCACACCGCATCCTGCCACTGCACACGTTTCTGTGGATGCCACTGAGGTGGGCAGCAGGCACCCAGGGAGGGGTGCAGGTGACGGTACCACTGCCCATGTCGAGGTGGTGGGGTGCTCCTTGACATACCTCCTTTCTTGGGATTAATGCCTGTGATCTTCCTGAGGGTTTGAGAGACCACCCCCTACTCCCCCTACCCCCGCCCACCCAGAATGTTTTTTCTAGTACTTAACCCCCAGAGAAAGAGTTTGATAGGTTAAGGCATTTCTGCCTGAGAAGGTGCCATTGAATTTGAGGGGATGAGCTGGAGCTTTTCCATAGTTGATTCCACCGGCAGCTCCTGACAGGAGAACCAGGCAATTTCGCTGCCAACCACAGGGTAAATTTCCCAAGGCTCCGATCATGGCCCCAGGTAGAGCTGGGACAGAGCCAGTCAGTGCATCTGTTTTCCTTACAATTCTTGGGTTACAAACTTCAGATTCAGGGAATTTTCAGTCAACAACAGGTAGAATGAATAAATACTTGGTTACCAGCCTAATAATGTGAATCGCTACAGAATTATTATGTAAGATAACAAAGTTTATGGAGATACTTTAGCTATAAATTGATGTAAAATATTGATTCTTTTTTTTAAAGGAAGGGGAGAACAGTAACTTGTTCAGTTATTATGCAATCAATTAGTAAATGTTTTTAAAATGATACTGTAGGAGAGCTTGTGAGAAGACTGCACAGATGGGCCCATTTGGTGTAGTTAGCAGAGGTCAGTCTGGTTTTTCATCCCAGGAGAGAGAGGAGGAGGTAAGAGGAAATCAGAACGTACCTAGCTGATTCCTCAGTGACAAGTGCAATGGGGGATGGGTAGAATTTATTTTCAGAGCCAAGGGGACTTGATGGTTATAAATAAAGTTGCTTTTAGTGATGGAATTGTAGACAGATCATGTTGTTCCAGAAGATGTGAATAGGACCCATGATAGAAAGTTGACTCAGAATAATGTAGATATTTAGATAAACGAGTCTTGATCCTTTGATTTCTTAGATTGAGGTTTTAATTTCATTATTGTCTCCCGGTAGTACACAGAGCATCGGGATTAGGAAATTAGCCATTTTGGACTCTGCCTGCCACAAACAGACCTATTCTAAACAGTGCTATTAAATTTTAGACTGTTGTCCAAATATTTTTATTTTCTCCTACAACTACTTTTTACTATAATGAACAAGTAAGACCATTTAAAACACGGGAGTACAAGTATTTTTTTGAACTAAATTAACTTGCAGAAACCAAATTTGCAGTGGTTGGGTTGTTTCTAGACAGACTTTGGTATCAATTTAAAACCAAGATAATTTTTATATTCTTTCCAATAGAATTTCGTGACAACTCCTGCAGTTTTCTTAACCTACAAAAAAAGAAAAAGTGCTGCAATGATGAACAAAGAATTATACAAAAACCTACTTTTGTATCTTTATTTTGGAATTTCTTGTTCTATTATAAATATGGAAGTATCCCTATTTGAGAAGACATATTTTGTTAAAAATGAATTGTACATATTTAAATATGTATTTTTGCACAGGTCTTTTTTTCTGATATCCTGTTTTGGTACAATTGAGATCATCTAGTATTTATTTATTAATTAATAAAAGTAAATACCTTTTTATAATTTGAAGTGGTTCACTGCCAAGCCAATAGTTCTAGGACCTGCCTCCTTTACCATGTAAGGGACGCCTCTGTTCTGTGAAAGTCTTTTGTCCCTTTCAGTGTCTCGGGAGTGGATTCACGCAGATGAAGTGGGCATTGCTTCTCCCTAGTTGCTTGACTTCCCCATAGACTACATGTAACGGGTGACACTGCTTTTCTTTCGTTACGTGTGAGAGTGAGTGTGCGCGCCCCGAGCACACGCGTGTTAGTATGTGAGTGGTTAAAACTAATGGGAAAAACACAAAACTGAAAGTGCCTGAACCTAGTTTTAAGCTTAGACAGATTCTTTAAAAAGACTTGAATGTTCAGTTGAACTTTTTTGGAGTTTGCTTTTTCCACCTAAATATTGTTACTTAAATTTTAGGGGAGGAGTTGAAAACCACCAAATGCTGGTAATTTTATAAGGTATTTTAAAATCAAGACCTTTTGGTTCACAGGAATTCAACTGGTGATGAATTGCCCAGTGGCACCAAGGGTTATAAATCTTCTGTCAGCCAGCAGCTTACACAGCGTGTCCGTTTTGTTACTCACTCGTGAAATGCAGAGTTTAAAATAGAATATTTAAAATATTTTGTATTCCAAAAATATAATACAGAGTACCTCTGAGAACATTGAAAAAAAATGTATAATTTGAAAAAATGTAACTTATAAAGGCAGCTGTCTTCCTGCAAGAGTTCTGTTGCCAAGGAATTTCTTAATGTCTCTCATTCTGTCCTGCGGTGGGGGGAAAAGTTGGGCTTTGGAAAAATGATTGTTAAAAGTTTCATTATGTTTAGCAGAAAAATAACCATTTTTACATTTTGTGTAAAGCCTTTTACATTTTCGGATCATTTAAATGAGCACTACATCCTGTCAGTGTGAGTGTAGGGCCTTGAAAGCATTTTGCCGGTTTCTTTTTTTTTTTCCCTTTGAGCTTGGTTATAAAAGCAATCTCCTGTTTAAAATGTGTGAATAGTTTGATCATTTGTACACATAATCAAGAGCATCTCAGCTGGACTTTTTGTTGGCTGCTGTATAGAACATGAACAAATGTCAAGGGATAGAAGATTACTTTGGATATTTAAAAGAGAAGAAATATATAGTCTATTTGTTTTGTAACAAGTTCTGTAAATAAAATAATTTATACTATTTATAAGAAAAGTTGTGCTTTGCTTTATGAGAAATTAGTTTGTGGAACAAACATGTTAACGGGCAATAAAACTAGGATTTCTCAATAAATAAGGTTGGCTGCATGAAATATTTTACATGTTTCTGCCTCGTTGTGATCCTGAACCTCTTCCGATCTAGTCTGACTCTTCTTCATTTTTAACAACAGACACCCTTGTAAAGCCCCTTCCTTCAGCTTCCCTTCCATGCAAGCTACAAACTTTAAGGGCTTAAGATGTTTCTCTTCTTGGGCACAAAACTTCATCTTGGGTAAATTAATAACTGGGTAAAGAGTGGACACAACTGTATTCTTGCCCTGTAGGTTTGTCAGCAGAAGGGAGTCGATAGGTTGAGAAATGCATTCCATTTGTATTATTTGATGGCATGTGGTCAGTTTTGATTACAGGTAAGTCTGTGTGTGTGTGTATTTAATTTTTATTTTATATTGGAGCATAGTTGATTAACAATGTTGTGTTTGTTTTAGGTGTATAGCAAAGTGATTGAGTTATATGTATACAGGTATCCTTTTTCAAATTCTTTTCCCATTTAGGTTATTACAGAATATTGAGAAGAGAGGTAAGTTTTTATCCCAAGTGGGTCTGGTTTCTTTCTTTTTTCCTTTTTTTTAAATTTTTTTTTTTTTTAAACATACCTCCCTCTCTGGCGATACAAGTGTATTAGTGTTAGGCACAGCATAATCTTTTATCTCAAGAAATTTGGCCATTTTTACCATTTGCAAACCATTCTTACAAATTCCAAATTATTTTTGTTGCTTAAAAGACTAAGGGAAACAATGGATTTGTGGGCTGGAATAAAGGTGAGTAATTATAGGAAGGAGTCAGTCCTCACTGCCCTGCTCCATGGACTTACATTCCATCCTTAGATCAGCTGACTATTCAAACTCATTATTAGTACATTCCCTATATATAACTCCTTTCACTTGGCTGTCCCCCTTAAACGTGCCAGGAGAAGGTTCGATCAGTCATCCTCTCATGCTTTTCTCACTTCTGTTCTCTTGCAGGTAACCTGGCCAGGGACAGCAGAAGATTATCCCAGTTCACCCAGCGGGGGATTGGCAGTTCTGGATCTTGACCTGAGGGAATCGACTGGCAGAAGGGCAGGTGAGGCCATTCTAGGCAGAGGGAGCGAAGTGGGCCCACACAGGTGTGAAGACACGGACTGGAGGAAGCTGGCTGAGAGGGAGGGGGGCCGACAGGGTTGGAGACGATGGCACCAGATTGTTCAGGACCTTACACGTCAGGGGGCCTTCATCCTTTGGAGCATGCAGTTTAACCAGATGTCAGTGTGAGAGCCCAGAGATTTTCACAGCCCAGTCCTGGCACATTGTAGTTGCCAAAGGTAAAAGTCATTCACATCTGTACTGGCGACTGTGGAAAATCAAAGAAGCAGTTAAACCTCTTTCCCTTTTTCTCACATTTTCACTCTTGCCTAAACTCTGTCTTTAGCCTTTACTCCCCACCTGTCAAGTCCTCCTCATAAACCTCTGCCCTAAATCAGACCTCAGGGCCTCCGCCTTCTGGCTCCACTGTCTGCTCTCTCAGTCCTCTTTTTCTCATAAGAAACACTTGCTCCTATTGCGAGTGGGACTTACTAAATGAGTCTAATATGTATATTTTAATCTCTACCACATAGGACCCTCCCAGGTCAGAATGGACAGGTGAGAACCTTGGGACAAAAATAATTGATAAAGCTGTTGTAGTGATCCAGGTAACAGCTATTAAGTTCTAAACTAAGACAGTGACCATGTGGATAAAGTGGAAACTTATTCCAGAGATCTTGTAAAGGTAAAACTAACACATTTTGAGGTCTCATATGGAGAAAAGGGAGGCTAAGGTAATTTAGAGATTTCTGGCTTGGCCAGGTTGGTTGAGCCTTAAAGGGAATACATGCTGTGGTGATAGAGAAGAGAAACACTGCAATAAATTTGAGTTGCCTGTGTAATACTCAATGGCTATATATGTACTCTGGAGCTTAAGAGACAGATTTGAGCATAAAATAGAATTGGAGGGTTGCCTTTCATTAGGAATGGATGAGTTCACCTAGGAGAAATAGGTAGCAGTCTGACTTGTCACTAGTTAAAATAATGCTCATCAAGTTGGAGGTCTGATGCCCCAGATGTGGTGAACACTTTGCATCCCTTCTCTCAAATCCCCTAACAGAGTATGTATTTCAGTGCCACTACTCCTGCTGATGAACAGCTTCTTAAAAGCTAAGTGTCTCTGTCCCACAGTGCCAGCCTTTGAATTCAGGTCTGTCAGATCAGCAGTTCTTAATCTCTTTTTTTCTTTCTATAGATTCTCAGGATCACATGAAAGAACTCATAGCTTCTCTCTGACAGAGGCATGAGCACCCCACCTTCTATGTTCTTTTTCCAAGATTTCACAAACTTAAAGCCCATGTTCCATGGCCAGAGAGAGAAGACAGCCCAAAATGAAACCCTGGAAAAGAGAATGTTTTGGTGAAGACAAACAGAGGCAGTACCAGAGACATCAGGGAATTCCGAGAAGGATGCAGTTGAGTTGGTTTAATTAGAAGTTTAGACAGTTATCTTATTTATCAACCCTATCCACCCACTTAGGTGGTTTTGTTTGTTTTGTTTTTTTCCCTTCTGCTGCTTTCTCCAGGTTAACTGGAATCAATTGAGATGAAAAGTTAGACCCTGGTCTGGGCAGGGAGACTGCCAAAGAATTAAAAATATGAGTGTGGCCAAGTGATGGCTTCATCTGGGTATTCAAGGAGGAACAGGGAGCTGCCATGTAAGTCCATGCAAGCCCCCTAAAGATGTTGGATTTGCACGTTCCCTCTTGTTATGTCTTATGGTCCTCCTTCCAGATAACTTGTCTATGGTCAGACCAGTTAAGTGATTCGTTCAGAGTTATGGAGTACAGTCCATGTTCAGTTTCATACGGCCAGTAGTGAAGAAGGGCTCTCTGTGTCCAAGACAGATCCAGAATTAGCACGGTGACACATGACTAGGTCAGGAAACAAAGGAATAGGATAGTAGGGCCCAAGTGGCAGTCCAGGTTTCATTTTCAAAAGCAGGGCTGTTCAGAGGTGTTTGTGATTCCTGGGTCCCGAGTGAGACCCTGACAGTGGATAGAAGTGGCGCGGAAGGAAATAGCACTGGAGTGAAGGCTTGGGAAGTGAGCTGTCACTGTACAGGTTGTCTTTTCCAGAGGCCTTAGAGTTGAGAGAGAGTCAGAGCGAGCTGCTCAGGTTTGGAGTGAACGGGACATGGTGGCTTAGAGTTCTCAGGGTGGTAAGCACAGTGAATGCTGGGCAGTGGGCAGCTTCACCAAGAAGGCATTTTGAATGAGGGTGGAAGCTTAATGGCCAGCAGAGAAGCAAGGCATCATCTTAGCCCCAAGTTCCTGAGGTGTAGATGAAAGAAGAGCCTCTAAGCCAGAGGATTTCAAGAAAAGTAGAGTCCTCAAAACCTAGTATAGAGTTTTGCCAGTACCCACCTGACCTGCCTCTTGAGAAACCTGTATGCAGGTCAGGAAGCAACAGTTAAAACTGGACATGGAACAACAGACTGGTTCCAAATAGGGAAAGGAGTATGTCAAGGCTGTATATTGTCACCCTGCTGATTTATATGCAGAGTACATCATGAAAAACGCTGGGCTGGAGGAAACACAAGCTGGAATCAAGATAGCCGGGAGAAATACCAATAACCTCAGATATGCAGATGACACCACCGTTATGGCAGAAAGTGAAGAAGAACTAAAGAGCCTCTTGATGAAAATGAAAGAAGAGATGAAACTCCAATACTTTGGCCACCTGATGCGAAGAGCTGACTCATTTGAAAAGACCCTGATGCTGGGAAAGATTGAGGGCAGGAGGAGAAGGGAGCGGCAGAAGATGAGATGGTTGGATGGCATCACCGACTTGATGGACATGCATTTGGGTGGACTCCGGGAGTTTGTGATGGACAGGGAGGCCTGGCGTGCTGTGGTTCACGGGGTCGCAAGGAGTCAACATGACTGAGCAACTGAACTGAACTGAGAGTCCTCAAAAACCTAGTACAGAGTTTTACCAGTACTAATAATCCCACTGATTGCAGAGACTCTTTGGAAAAGCAGATCTCTGGTAACTTCCTAAAGAGAGGGTTGATACAGTTGTCAGGGTGCCACCTATTGGTAGTGTTGACTACATGATCCCTTGCCCAAGGCACTGTCAGGATTTATGATACATAATTGCTGGAATGAAGGCTGACTCATTCACTAGCTAGTTGTACCTTTTATTTCTTACATCCAGTCTACACAGGGAAGATTATGCTATTACAAGAGATTTCTGAATGACAGGACGTCACCCTCCCCCTTGACCCTGTACTTCAAGGTTATAATGGCCTGGAGTAAACTGACATGCATTCTTTATATTTTTTTATCATTCTTTTTCAAAGCATTTTTAAAATTTTCAGTTGAAGGATAATTGCTTTACAATGTTCTGTTGATTTCTGCCATATATCAACACGAATCAGCCAAAGGTATACATGTGTCCCTTCCCTCTTGAGCCTCCCTCCCACCCCATCCCACCGCTCTAGGCTGTCGCAAACCCCGAGGTTGAGCCCCCCACATCGCACAGCAACCCCCCACTGGCGCGCTCTTTCACATGTGGTGACGCATGTGTTTCACTGCTGCGCCCTCAGTTCGTCCCTCCCTCCTCTTACCGCATCTCCATTGCTGCCCTACAAGTGGCTTCTTCAGTACTGTCTTTCTAGATTTCACATATATGCCTTAATATATGCTATTTTTTTCTCTTTATGACTTACTACTGTACGTAGTAGGCTCTACGTTCACCCACGTCACTAGAACGGACTCAAGTGCATTCCCTTTTATGACTAATATTCCATTGTATGTATATGCCACACCTTCTTTATCCATTCGGACATCTAGGTTGCTTGCATGTCCTGGCTGTTGTAAATAGTGCTGCAGTGATCACTGGGGTACATGTGCCTTTTGCCATTGTGATTTTCTCAGAGTATATGCCCAGTAGTGAGATTTCTTGGTCATATGGTAGTTTCATTCCTAGTTTTTAAAGGTCTCTCCGTATTGTTCCCCATAGTGGCTGTA